CCGGGAGGCCCCCCGCTGGCCCCGCCTCCCACCCCGGGGAGGCCGCGCTCCTGTCCTGTTCGACACGCCCCCCTGGGCTGATGAGAATCGGATCGGGCAGCCGGGCGGCCTCTGCTGTTTCCTATTCCAGAAGGAGAGAGCGTGTGTCGGGCTTAGTGGGGCTCTGCCACCTGCGTGATTATGGAAAAAAAGGAAAAAAAATGCCCACTTGCCCCAAAGGAGAGGATTCTTTTTTTTCCTTTTGTCCCGAGTTAAAATTCCCTGGCGTCCGTAGATCCCCAGGATGAACAGAGGGCCCGTCCTCTCCCCCACAGCCCCCCCCCGCCCCGTCTTCTCTCCCTGCCCTAAGGACATCCCAGACTTTTGTGGAAAAATAAGTGGCTGGATTTAAATTTCCTCAGATGCGGCAGGGTCACGTGGGGGGTAACTTTCCTAGCAAACACCAAGCGGGGAAGCAGCCATGAGCGGGACTCACCGCGGGTCCGAGGCGGGAGCCGGCGCGTGTACCGCGGGCGCGGCTAATGAACGCGGCGGCGGCGATATTTCATCAGACAAATTAATGCTCACGTGTAATGGGGAAGTCGCCTAATGAATCTCGGCTCCAGCGACAGCAATTAGAGACACAGATTGTCCCCTTCTGGACAAGCCACTGTTTAGCGCGCGGCAGCTGTGTGCGAAGTCTCCAGGTTTACAGCACAGAGATGCTGCGGGGGAATTAGCGCACGATTTATATTTATGGACTGGAGCTGCCCCGGAAGGCGCCGCCGCATTTGTCTCTCCTGGTGTTAACCGAGTAAAGACGGGGAGGAAGGCTGAGTAAATAGCGAGGAGACTCCGCTGCCGCTGACGCGGAAACCGACCGTCCGCACCTCGACGTCAAACCCAAAGCCCTTCGCGAGAGCCGGCAAAACGAACAAGAAACAGCAAGGACACGTCGGAGGTGCGAGGCCCTTCTTAAAGGCCTGAGAAAGGGGTGTCCACGGAGGCCCATAGGGACCTACCTGTGATTGTGGGAACTTGCTCCTCTGGCTTATCCAGTGCAACGTGGAGGCTCAGAACAATGAAAGCTATGGCCGTGCGAAAATAGGTTCGGTGGCCCGGCCGGCGTGGCTCCGCGGCTGAATGTCCACCTAGGAACCAGGAGGTCACAGTTCGAATCCGGTCAAGGGCACATGCCCGGGGCTGTCTGTGGGCTCCATCCCCGGTGTGGGGCTTGCAGGAGGCAGCCGATCCATGATTCTCTCTCCTTGTTGATGTTTCTATCTCTCCCCCTCTCCCTTTCCTCTCTGAAATCAATGAAAATATATTTAAAAAGATAAAGAAAATAGGTGGGATGAACGAATGGAACCAGGTGGCCATAGACAGCGAGTCCCCCCAGAAAGTACGCAGACTTCAACAACTGCTAGCTCCGTCTTGGGGATGAAATGTATTTGGATGAACACTGCCTTTACAATGATTCTAAGTGCGCGGCTACATTTGGGGGGGGCGCCCCATATTTCTGTAGTTTCTTCTACAGTTACCTGAGGACGTACCGATGCTCCCCCAAAGCGGAGTGTGCGTCGCCATGGCGGCGGGAGCTGGTTTCACTATAAGATGGTTCCAATGATTTCTTTTCCGTTTTATGGAAGTTGTGGGGTGACCCTGGATAGTGAAAGTACGCAGGTTTCAGGTGCACGATCCCACATCACTCACCCGCACCGTTACCAGGGGTGGGAACCTTGTTTCTGTCCAGGGCCGTTTGCACACTTATAGCATCAGTCACGAGACACACAGGGTTATCAGCGTAAACATCCGCCTGCTCCGTTTGGTCAAACACCTAGTGAACTCACCCCCCGTGCCTTGGCAGGGCCAGCCCCATGATTCCGAGGGCCTCCTACGGCCCGCGGGCCGGACGTTCCCCACCCCTGCGTCAGTGCATTGAGGCGAGGAGCTGCCGACGGCTTCCTGCTCTGCCGGTTCTAGCTGCTCTCTTTCCTAGGAAGGCTGCGTCTGGGCCCACTCTCACCCCATGAAAGGCTGGAGAGGTTTCCCCGGGGAAGGCCACCGGTGCCCTGACCGGCTTCGTTGGGTGGGAACTGGCTCGGCACCGGCCCCCTTCCCCAGGCGCAGGCTGTGTAAGGGCCGCCGGGGCCGGGCCAGCCTGTGGAGGAAGCTTTGTGGCCCCTCACGTTGGGGGACGTGTGTAAGCAGGTGTCAGCATTGAAAACCAGGGCTCTGCATGTAGGAAACGGGTGTGGCTTTGCCTAGCCCAGTGACGGCGAACCTTTTGAGCTCGGCGTGTCAGCATTTTGAAAAACCCTAACTTAACTCTGGTGCCGTGTCACATAGAGAAATGTTTTGATATTTGCAACCATAGTAAAACAAAAACTTATATTTTTGATATTTCTTTTATGTATTTAAATGCCACTTAACAAAGAAAAATCAACCAAAAAAATGAGTTTGCGTGTCACCTCGGACACGCGTGTCATAGGTTCGCCATCACTGGCCTAGAGCGTCGGCGGTCGCCGTGTCCACGGCTGGTTGGACTTGAGTGGCGGTCGCCCTGTGGGAGAGGCGTGGGGTCTGCCCGCTGTTCCCTGCAGCCAAGGTGAGCCTGGCTGGGAAGGCCCCTGAGTGGGGGGGCTCCCACACCAGGCGGATGCAGAGACAGCGTCCCAGACATCACGGTCCCAGGCATCACGGTCCCAGGCATCATGGTCCCAGACGCCCCGAGAAGCTCAGGGCAGCCCGAGTGGTCCCCCCAGTGGGTTTGGACTCATTTAAGGCCTAAGTGGCCAGTCACTCAGCTGGACGGCGCTGCTGGCCGGGTCTGGGCGGCCGGTGCCACGAGGCTGCACAGGGAGCGCCTTTCCAAGTCTCGGGCAGAGCCTGCTGGGCGGAAACGCCCGAGGCGTTGGCGCCAGCCCCGCGTCGGGCTGAAGCAAGTGGCCAGGTGGGTGGCGCGGACTGGGCAGCAGCTCTCAGCACAGGTGGGCTCGCGTTTGTCCGTTGGCCAAATGGAAGAGGTGTGTGCGCGCACGTGTGTGTCTCTGTGTTACACGATGTGTGTTATATGATGTGTGTGTGTGTTGTATGATGTGTTATGTGATGTGTGCGTGTTATATGATGTGTGTGATGTATGTTTTGTGTGTGTGCATATGCATGTGTGTGTGGTGTACGGAGTGTGTGTGGTGTAGGATGTGTGTGCATGAGTGTGTGAATGCCACTTGCATGCATGAGTGTATGACATGTCTCCTCTGAAGGCCGTGAGGATAAAGGCCTTGTCTCTGGTTCTTCATTCAACTCCCCGTCTGACTTGGGAGACCAGACGTGCTCATTCACCCGTCACTCCATGTGTGTGAATGACTCTGCACCTTTTTGGTGAACCTGGGCCTCCCATGGGACTGAGGCGGGAAGTGGAGGCGGCGCCAAAGCGTCAGAGGGTGCGTTGTCCTCTCAGTCCTCGGCAGGGTCCAGCCAGAGCCCCAGGACCTTCCCACGGGGACACCCTCCCAGACCCACAGGCATCTTGAGCTGCCTGGGAGCCCCGCAGCCGCTGAGCAGGGGGCACATGGCAGCGCGCGGACCAGGCCGGCACTGGGTCTGGGGGTGACGGGGAGTCCCCGGCCTGGAACCGGGCTGCCGCTCCTGTTGGCTGCCAAGTCCTCCCCTCAGCAACTGTGTCACCCCAGTGCCCACGCCCGGAGGACGGGAGTCGGCATCAGCCCAGCCCAGCAGGCACCAGTGGCCTCGTGCACTGAGTCCCTCAGAGAGATCGTGTGGGTGTGGATGGCGTCCCTGCGGGAGCAGCTCGCGGGATGGTCACGCCACCTTCCCTGCAGAGCGCTCATCCATCCCCGAGTCCGGGAGAGACCTGGGCGCGCTCAGGAGCCCTGGGCTGCATTTACACCCGCGTGTGCGTCGCCTCCTGTCCCCCTCGGGCCCACAATGCTCCTGACCCAGGTCCCACGTGCCCGGGCCTCTTCCGTGGAGGCAAGAACAATAGAAGTTGGGTGTTGAATGGAAATAAATATTTAATTCGTGAAAATGGCCTTATATGTTTTAAAACGCCCCTTAACGCGATTTTTATTCTCTCGAAAGCGCTTATTACAGGTAAATTACGCATTTTACTGCCGCCGCGTTAGGTTCGCCATTAGAACAAATTTAAGGCCCTGCGAAGACCAGTAGATAATGTTAATTTCAAATACAGAAGCTAAATATATTTTGCCCCTTTTTATTACTCGTTTTCTTTTAAGGTTTATTGACTGCTTTTTATCTTAACTATACGTCTTTACGTGCCGCCGCCGTAATGCACTGTAACGGCATTAATATTTTAGGGAATCGGTATTTATGGATCTTTATTTGGAAACAATGCCGTGGGTCTGCCGCTACCCGCGCCCTGGAAGGGTGCCCTCCCGATAATGATGAATGGCCCGCGCTGTGTGCCATTTGCTAATTATATCCATGATTTACTGCGGAGCGAGACTTAAATCATTCATTTCAGTCTTGCGTAACAGGGCCATAAAATTTTTAGGTTTAAAAATGGTTTCCATGTGTATAATTTAAACAAATTTCAGGGCCCTTGTATACACAAAATGCTGCACCCAGCCATTTGTTACGTACGCCGTCTTCCTAAACTTCTACTTTTAATGATCGCTGTGGTTGGAATTATTATGCTTAATTTTCATAATCATAGCTTTTAAATCTATAGCCGTTCGCACACGTTAGATGAAGAAAGAGATAGCTAATTGTGTGTGGATAGTATGTCATTCCTGAGTAGTCCCAAATGGTACGAAGTCGTTAAAAAGGCTGAAAAGCACGAATTATTCTTCTATTAACGAGCAGTTGTTCTCCGACTAATTATTAGTTGGCGCTGCTTTGTGTCCAAGAACAAACGTTGCTCCTTCTAGCCTCGCGGCAGCAAAGTGAGATAAACTCCTCTCCTTTCTCTCTCTCTCTCTCTGTCTCTCCCGTGCCCACACCCTGCAGGTGAGAAGCCCTACAAGTGTCCGCACTGCGACTACGCCGGCACCCAGTCCGCGTCCTTGAAGTACCACTTGGAGCGGCATCACCGGGAGCGGCAGAACGGGGCGGGGCCCTTGTCCGGCCAGTCCACCAGCCAAGACCCCCGGGACGAGCCGTCGGGCAAAGCCGCGCTGTTCCTCAGGCCCGACATCCTGAGGGGCGCCTTCAAGGGCC